CATGTAGGATCTTTGTCCTTAATGTGCTGTACATTGAGATTTAATGCTATAACTAGTAATCAAACAGTATTTTTCACTTTATGTTTCTGTGTGGGAGCAAACTGTTGAAATCTTTACTTAATGTATACTAAATTGATCTTCTGTATTTAAAGAGAATTGAAAATGAATCTTGATATGAATGGAAGGGGAGAGGAGAGGGAGTGGATAAGGGGAGGGTTGCGGGTTGGAGGGACGTTATGGGGGGGAAGCCATTGTAATCCATACGCTATACTTTGGAAATTTATATTCATTAAATAAAAGTTAAAAAAAAATTATGACAAAGTCGGGTAAGCAATACAGTATAAGGAAGAAAATCCTGCCTTATTCCAGGGACAGGGAGTAGAGGCCTTAAGAAAATTAAGTAACATAGACTCCAGCAATCAAGAAGAGCAAATCGTAACTGGTACTTCTTTCATCAGTCAGCCAACCCTAGATATTTGGATGAAACTCCAGAAATTGGTCATGGAAACCCATAACCCTATGTTTTACTACTAAACTTTTATTACAAGTATTTTATAGTAGAGAAAAAGGTGAAGAGAAAAGGATATTCCAACACAAGGACTAATAGTCCAGATAACCAGCTAATGGAATAATAGTCACTGCAGCCAGTGCCTAGTAACCTCAAGGCCAAAACAAGAGATGCCCTCCTATGGATGAAAAGCCCACAAGGAATGTCCTAGGTGTGGGAGGCTGGGGCGCTGGCACAGGAAATGTCCCCACCTGAAAATCCCACTTGGCCCCTGCCCTCAATGTAAAAAAGGCAAGCACTGAAAAAAGGATTTCCCACAGTTCTAACAGCAGCGATCTCTCAGTTCCCTCATGACATTACCTAGGAAATGGCAAGGCCCAGGAATTTAGGTGGTTCCACAATGCACAAAAGTGTGCCTTCTTGCTTAAATGGAAGGAATCTATATATTAGATATAGGGCCACCACAGAACAAAGAAACAGCAAAGAACATTCCTGGGAGGGCCGGCGCCGCGGCTCACTAGGCTAATCCTCCGCCTAGCGGCGCCGGCACACGGGGTTCTAGTCCCGGTTGGGGCACCGGATTCTGTCCCGGTTGCCCCTCTTCCAGGCCAGCCCTCTGCTGTGGCCAGGCAGTGCAGTGGAGGATGGCCCAGGTGCTTGGGCCCTGCACCCCATGGGAGACCAGGAAAAGCACCTGGCTCCTGGCTCCTGCCATCGGATCAGCGCGGTGCGCCGGCCGCAGCGCGCCGGCCGCGGCGGCCATTGGAGGGTGAACCAACGGCAAAGGAAGACCTTTCTCTCTGTCTCTCTCTCTCACTGTCCACTCTGCCTGTCAAAAAAAAAAGAACATTCCTGGGAATGGAAAGCTTATTCAAAATCTGTATTCCAAAATTTAGATTGATAGCCAAACCCTTCATGAGGCCTTAAATGATTCCTCACAATGACCCACTGAGATGGACAGAACAAACAAAAGACCTTTCCAAAGATTAAGGATAGGGGCTGGCACTGTGATGCAGTGGGTTAATGCCGTGGCCTGAAGCGCCAGCATCCCATATGGGCACAAGTTCGAGACCCGGCTGCTCCTCCTCCGATCCAGCTCTCTGCTATGTCCTGGGAAAACAGCATAAGATGGCCCAGGTCCTTGGGCACCTACACCCACGTAGGAGACTAAAAAGAAGCTCCTGGCTCCTGGCTTCAGATTGGCGCAGCTCGGGCCATTGTGGCCGATTAGTGAGCCATCAGATGGAAGACCCCCCTTTCTCTCTGCCGCTCCGCTGTCTGTGTAACTCTCTTTCAAATAAATAATAATCTTTTAAAAAAGATTAAGGATATGCCAAAAGAATGAGGATATACCCTTTCACTGGGGATCCCTTTTCTAGACAAGCCCTACACACTGTTTGTGGAAAGAAAGCAATGCATGTCCTGGGTTCACTCACCCAGAATCTGGGCCTGCTTTCATCACTGGTGGCCTACTTTTCTAAATACCTGGATTCAGTGGCTGGGGGATGGTTTAGATGCTTGAGGGAGTTATTCCTATTATAATGTTGGTGGAGGAAACCACCAGGTTGACATTACACCAAATTCTTGATATTCAAGCTTCATATAAGATAAAAGGGCTCTAGAGATTAAAAGACACAGTGGCTAACAGTGATTTTTTTTCTTGTTTCTGTTTGTTGAATTCATTACTTAGTGGGAGGGAGGGGTTAAGCTTATGATTTTAATATAAACTAAAAGTATGTCATTGTAAAAATTAAGATAAGAAAGGAAGGAGAGGGGATGGTGGGAGCATGGGTGGGTGGGAGAGTATGGTGAGAAGTATCACTGTGATCCTAAATCTATATATGTGAAATACATGAAATGTGCTCACCATATCTACACACACACACACACACACACACAGAGAGAGAGAGAGAGAGAGAGAGAGAGAGAGAGAGAGGAAACCTTACTAAATACCAGGCTCTCCTTTTAGATTCACCCCCAAGGTAATTCTCAAAGTATGACAAGTCTTCAATCCAGCTAGACTTCTGCCATCAGAAGGCTCTGAAAAGCCAGCTCACTATTGTGTAGAGACCATAAAACAGGTCTACCCAAGTAGGCCTGATATACAAGAGAAACCGCTGGAGAACCCAGATGGTGGATGCTTCACTGAAGGAAGGCAGTTCTGCCAAGAAGAGGTGGGATTGGGGAGTTAAGGAAGAGCCCAGGAGGAGATCCTTAAGGCTGTCAGCTAGATTTGCTTATGCAAAAGTGGAAATGTAGCCCAAGAAGGCATTTGGGAAAGATAAGTCACCAGAGAAAAAAGTGCAAGCACAGGATAAGAGAGAAGCAAAGGGAAAACAGCCAAGGTGGCCCATCAACAAACTAAAGAAGAGTTGAGTGCAGAAAGAGGAGAAACTAAAATTGAAGAGTCCAATCTCTGATGAAGCAGAAGAGAAATAAACTAGTCTAAACATCATATACTGTGTCATATCAGTGGTCCCAGTCTCCCTTCTTGTATAATCCAGATGAATATGTTTATCAACTAGTTAAAAATGCAAGTTTTTTTAGTAGTTCCAGGAACATTTTTAAGGTTCATCCCATTTTTAAAGTGTGACTGATTTTTTTAAGAGGTGAAATCATTTGTTGGATGTTCATTTTTTGGTACAACCAGAAAATAGAATATTAAATCATGGGAGGCTTCGACTCTTTTGGGTGCCAGTTTAAAATTCCATAGGTGGGGACAGTTTTTATATCCCACAGTACAACACACACTAAATGGCAATTTGGAGCAATGACTATGCATTCAACATGTCTTCAATATTTTGTTACCTCTCCTGTGTTGTTTAGTAGAATTGTTTCCTACAGAAAAGCACTCCTTGTTGCTCTGTCAGAACTATGTGTGGTCTGTAACGTCTTCAAGTGTGGTAGTGCAGGTTTCCTAATAGTTTTGTTAATGTGCTGCAAAAGCCTCAAAATGTGAGCATGTTGTGTACATTAAATTGTGAATTGGTGGGATTTATGTAACAGCGACACTTGAAGATACTCATACTTGAAAGCCTCCATGGAAAGTTACTGGAATAACTTTTTAAAAAAAGAATGAAAATTCATGTTTTTTTTAAGATTTTCAGTACCTATGTTAAGAATTATATACAAATTGGGGCCAGCACTGAAGCTTACTTGGCTAATCCTCTGCCTGCGGCACCGGCACCCCGGGTTCTAGTCCCGGTTGGGGCGCCGGATTCTGTCCCGGTTGCTCCTCTTCCACCCGGGAAGGCAGTGGAGGATGGCCCAAGTGCTTGGGCCCTGCACCCCCATGGGAGACCAGGAGGAAGTGCCTGGCTTCTGGCTTTGGATCCGTGCAGTGCACCGGCCGTAGTGGCCATTTCTGCACAGCGCACCAGGCGTAGCGGCCATTTTGGGGGTGAACCAACGGAAAAGAAGGACCTTTCTCCCTGTCTCTAACTCTGCCTGTCAAAAAAAAAATAATAAAATAAAATAAAAGAATTATATACAAATTGAAATGTCTGTGTATTGATTCTCAACACCAATAAAATCACAATTATGAAAAAAATACATTGTATATATAGTGGAATATTAGCCATAAAAAAGAAAGGAATCCTGTCATTTGCAGGAAAGTTATTGGAACAAGAGGACATGATGTTAAGTGATTTAAGCTAGATGCAGAAAGACAAGTACCACATGTTCTCCCTATATATAGGAGCTAAAAATAACAAAAAAATTCAGTCCAAATGCAGAAAGTTGATTACCAGAGGCTTAGAGGGGTTGGAGGCAAAGAGAGAGTTTCCAAAAGCAGGAGAAGCTAGGTGTGGTTCATTAATTATGACAAATAGGCCATAATAATATAAGTTGCTAACAATATAAAACACCTGAAATTAAAAGCTTAAAAATCAAATAGGTACATTTTAAATTCTTTAAAAACATAGGGAGGACCTGTTCAACTAAATGATTTCACATCATAATTAATATAATGCGAGTGCAAGTCATTCAGCTCTAAGAATGTAACAAAACAACATATTTTATATCTATCTTTAATCAAGGAAATCTACCATATTGGTAGTATTGCTGCAAATACTGAATGATATGTAAAACTTGTACCTTGGACTTTTTGTACTTCATTGTAATACCACGGCTTCCCCACAAGTGAATGATAACATCACTTCATATTCAGATTGCAAACTGATAACAGATTCCCTCACCAGAGTACTGTACCCACTGTGAAGTAATACACTAATGGGCATGTGATGTGCTGCTAGCACAATATTTAATAAACACATATCAATGTTTGAAGGTTAAGCAGAGATTGGAATGATCTTATTCTTACACATTTGATTTATAACCCAAAAGCTCTTTTTAGATTCTCTTTTTGTCCCATTATCAATAATTTTGTAGTATATTTTAAAATTGTACAAAACATTTATGAAAATGAAAAAACAAAAATGAGACAAACTAAAACAATGAATTTCTTAATGCGTTTTCCTAGTTGTAGACTTACTTCTGCAGTACCACAGTCACAGAATTCAGTGCCCTCTACTTTGCCATTGCCACAGACTATCCTCTTTCTTTGCATTTGTGGTTTATTCTGAAGACAGCTGGCACCCTCATTTGAAATGAGACTTTTAAAGTCACTCAAACTGCAATTGCTAAAAGTCTTTGCACCACTGGATGTCCTAAAGATTAATCCATAAAACATTATTGGCATGATACTTCTGAAAACATAATTCTATATTAACAAATTAATTTTCAAATTTTAAAAATTAATTAGGAACAGAATGTTGATAATAACTGCTAAAAGGTCAAATTTATTCTCAAAGAGGTCATTTGATTTCACCTGAATGTATGTCTTTGTTTTTTAAAAATTACATGCAACTCAATAGCAAAAACCCAAATAAACTAATTTAAAAGATTGCAATAGACATTGCTACAGATAAAAATTAACACCCAACTGACAACAAATCTTTATTAAACAAGTTATACTATGCTTAGTCCTGAACCCTTCAAAGATTTCAGAGAAACTATACATTATATACAATTATACCTATACACTATTATTTAAAAAAACTTCAGAGAATATTTCCAGTGGATTTGTTAGTTTTGATATGCAGTAAAAATATGTAAGGAAAGGAGTAGGCTGACACTAAGTGAACATCTAGTATAATATATACTTGATTATTTAATCTTTACCACAAACCTCAAAATACAGACACCTTATTAACCTGCAGAATGAGTATTAATACAGCTATTTTTGTTATATAAATTATATATATATTTGTATATATAACTATTTTATATATTTTAAATTATATCTATGTTATGTTATTTATAAAAACCATAGAACAATTAAATAAAACTAATTAATACAGCATTTTGGTGCAATTAGTATTGAAGTTTACTCTTAGCAATTTTCAAGTATCAGTAGAATATTATTAATTATTGTAACCATGTTGCACAAATTTACAATTGGCAGAATATGGAATTAACCTACATGTACATCAGTAGACGAATGAGGAAAGAAAAAAATGTGGTAAATATAAGTTGGCCCTTTGTATCTGCAGATTCTACACTATGGACTCAAGCAACCACAGATGGAGAATATAAAAAAAAGAACTGTCTCTACTGAATAAGCACAGGATTTGATTCTTATAACCATTACGAAAAAATACAGCAACAACTATTTATGTAGCATTTATATTGCATTAGCTATTGTAGAAATGATTTAAGCATATAGGAGTGTGTAAGTTGAGTACCCATAGTCCAAAACAACCAGGACAAGAAATTTTTCAGACTTCAGATTGTTTTTTTTCGATTTTGAAATATTCACTTAGACCTAATCAGATAACTTGAATATGTGAAATTAATCTTTCACATACACATAATACACATGTTCTGAATGTAATTTATGGATTGTTTTTAGTGAATCTACATTTTGACTGTGACTATCTTATGAGATTATGGAATTTACCACCTGTGGTATCATGTTAGTACTCCAACACTTTCAGATTCTGGAGAATTTGGGGTTTAGTATTTTCAGATTAGGATTTCTCATTCTGTTCTACACTATGTTATGGAAAGGATGTGAGCATCTGTGGCTATCAGTATCTTGAGGTAGACATGGGGTGAGGGTCCTATAACCGATATCCTGTGACTATCAAGAAACCACTGGTATACACAAGAATATGAAGACTTTAAAGTCTATAACAACAAAGATGAACATAAACAGCATTATGCTAAGTGAAATAAGTTAATTACAGAAAGAAAAATACTACATGGTCTTATTTAGATGTGAAATATGAAAGAATCAAATTCTTAGAAGTAATGGGTAGGATGGTGGTAACCAGTGGCTGGCAGTGGTAAGAGACGTTTGATTACAAATTCACGTACTCTGAACCACATAATTCATTATTGATTATTATATAATACCATAAAGTATCTCCATTTAGATTAAAACTGATGTTTTGGAAGTTGATGAAAAATTTTAATGAAAATTTGCAATATTTGTTTCTGTATCTACATCATCATGTATGTGGGTAGGATAAATTATGTGTGGCTAGGATTCTAAATGAAAATTTTAACAATGCTTCTCTACTTTTGAGATAAACAAATGAGGGACAGTTACTGTGGCATAGCGGGTAAAGCCGCCATCTGCAGTACCAGCATCCCATATAGGCACCAGTTCAAGTCCCAGCTATTCTACTTCTGATCCAGCTCTCTGCTATGGCCTGGGAAAGCAGCAGAAGATGGGCCAGGTCCTTGGGCCCCTGCACCCACACGGGAGACCCAAAGGAAGCTCCTGGTTCCTGGCTTCTGATCAGCACAGCTCCAGACGTTGCGGCCAACTGGGGAGTGAAGTGGCAGATGGAAGACCTCTCTCTCTGCCTCTCCTTCTCTCTGTGTAATGCTGACTTTCAAATAAATAAATCTTTAAAAGAAAAGATAAGCAAATGAAAAAAGTTCAAGTAAGTCACCTCAACAATATACAATCCCCAATTATTCATACTATTTTGCTGTCCATAATGGCAATTAAGTTAAGAATACATGTCCCCAAAGTTTGTGATCAATCATCTTCAGTTTTTGTTTGATATTTTGCATTCAGAATTCTAATTCTATATTTGTTTTATTCCCAAATAATGTTACTAGAGCTTGATGATAAACAATAACAGAACTAGCCTAGCTTCTGGGTTCAAAGAACAGGGAAAGAAAGTGATAGAAGAGAATGATAATAAAGAAAGTAGTGCTCCCTACCATATTTCCAAAGTTGGAGTGAGCACATGAGTATGTCTGTAAATGTGTATTTATTCCATGTATGCATCTATAAGGAAGGCATATATTTATCATGTATCCTTACATGGATATTTGTTTATATAATGACTATTTTAGAGAAAATTATAAGTATATACGTTTCAGTTTGTTTTATTTTTAGAATATGAACATTAACACCTTTGATGATACTTAGGTGTAACTATGACTAGATCATGTTTTCAAATTGATGCCTTATTCTCACGTTTGACTTTTCATAGTTCTCCAGTAACAAATAGGTAATTCCTATCATATATCATATTCTATAAAGGAAAATCCACAAAATACTAAAGGCAACTGATGGAGCATTTATCTGATGCTTTATGTTGATTGATATTTGTAAATTTTTTAAATCACTGCAGGTAACCTATCACATAATTATGAAACTATATAATTTTATTTTATTTTCTCACTGTATTCTTATATTACCTTCTGAAATAAAAGGGTTATTCCCATCGAAAAATAAGAAAGGTTAATCTAAGCACAGTCAAGTAATTTGTCCAAAACTACAAAAATGCCATGTATTTGATACTCATATTCAAGTAGACTTTATATTATTTTGATGGTTTTAATGTTATTCACAATATTAAACTATTTCGAAAGCAAAACCAAAGATTCTAACATAAACATTACTTGTTACGTCCTAATGACATATGTTTAAATATGTCAGCATTAAGTAAGTGCTTTCAAATATGTATCTAAATGAAAATTCCTATGCTAATACATATTACAGATTGGATTTGCTTTCCCTGTCTTTTTTTTTTTTGACAGGCAGAGTGGACAGAGAGAGAGAGAGGTCTTCCTGGAGCACCGCGCTGATCCGAAGCCAGTAGCCAGGTGCTTCTCCTGGTCTCCCATGGGGTGCAGGGCCCAAGCACTTGGGCCATCCTCCACTGCACTCCCAGGCCACAGCAGAGAGCTGGCCTGGAAGAGGGGCAACCGGGACAGAATCCGGCGCCCCGACCGGGACTAGAACCCGGTGTGCCAGCACTGCTAGGTGGAAGATTAGCCTATTGAGCCGTGGTGCCGGCCTCCCTAACTGTCTTTACTGGTACACTTCACTCCATAAACTTAACATTTTAGTTTAAATGTCTAGGTTTTCCCATTAATTGGTCCATTCATAGTTACTTTGTGTTATATGTAGATACTGAATTTTTGCACTTTGAATATTTAAAACAAAATAAACATGACCAATAGACAAGTATTTTAAAAAAACATACATAGCTTCTGGATTCATTATACAGATGGCTTCTGAGCAGTGACATTTCTTTGGATCATCATATGATATCCCTAGACTGAGTGCCAGCATCTGGGAGACAACAACTGAAAATGCCTCCAAAGTTATCCTCTTGTGATACTGTAATAAAAGAAAAGAAAATTCAGATGAAAAATAATTCATTACATGGTGGTTAAAATAATTTTGTTACAATTCTGAACTTTTTTCTTTTTCAAGAGATATGGTTCATAATGCTGTACCACTTGTCTAGGCTACAACATGGTTTTAGTTAGAGGCTATGCATGTTATGTTTTTTATTTGAACCATGATTAATCTGTGATATTATAATGGCCTGGGGAGGGGAAAAACCATCAGTTTCCTATAGTTAGAAATATAATGGTTTATAATATCCCATAGCTACACCCAGATGCTGGAGGCTACTTAATTTTGTGTCATCCTAAACTGGTTAGCCTAAGATAGTCCACCACCTCTGAGGTACCACTGCCAATGTTGCACAGGCACCAGTTGACCTTCCAACTAGATTGTGTGCTACATAACTTCTGGTTCCTTCACCAGATGGGCTTAGTTCAACTTTTTTCCCAGTCACTTCCTAGGATCCAATATTGTGTAAATTCAATATTGCATGTCTCATGCATAATTGTTCTAAAGGATCTCACTTTATGCATGAATGGTGTACATTGCCATATAATGTAAAAAGAATGATCTACATATAAACAATATAGCCAGTTATCCACGTGTCATACAACCTAAATCACCAAATAAACCTTGAACAGCGAAAAAAATAGTTGAAGCTCTTCTTCATATGAAGTTGTATTAAGATATAAGCATACTGAGATTATGCAGATCTTTGTCATAATTTAATAGTTGATTGCTTAGCAAATTTAAGAAAGCTATCATAGCTATGTATAAGGACCTTATTTGATGAAGAAACTTTGCTTTTTTATAGACTTTTGACTATATGGACCATAGTTTTCAAATAACCTAATTTCTTACAGGAGCTCTGATATTCATGTAGGATAGTTCGTGTAATCTCCTCCCAGCTCATGTATGGCCACATAATCAAATTGCCCAGTTTAAGTGTATTGTATGATTCCTGCTAATCACAATGACTTGCATTAGGAGAAGCCACAGAGCAAAGACTCTGTAAGTATCATTTATGGATTAGGTTTCTCATGGATTAAGCAAGTGCACGGGTAACTTCCTTTCAAGCATGAATGGTACACTGGTAATTCATCATGTCTCAAAATCAGCTGGCATGGGATAAGGTACAGATAATTTGCTATGGTGTAAACATAAATAATAAAAGAATTGGAGGTGAATTGGCTTCTTACGACCACCTTCAAATACATATAATGAAAATTAGAAAGGGAAATCTATGACTAATGAACTAAACATACAGATAATCAAAACGTCTCTGAAGCAGCACTGAAGTAACTCATTTTGTGTTGTTGTGGATTGATGAGGCTGAGGACAATTCCTGAAAACTAAATTTGGTAGGGAACACAATATAATCTGAAATTTGGGCTGGGAACAATTGAGTTAACAGAGGAGGAAGACCTCCCAAGTAATGTAAGAGTCTCTACATTAAAAAACCGAAAACTGGGGCCAGCATCATGGAACGGCCAGTAAAGCCACAGCTTGCAACACTGGCATCCCATATGGGAGCCACTTAATGTCCTGATGCTCTTCTTATCAAACTCCCTGATAATTGCCTGGGAATAGCAGCAAAGGATGGCCCAAATGCTGGGCCCCTGCCACCCACACTGTAGATGTGGATAAAGCTCCTGACTTCTGGCTTCAGCTGGCCCCGCCCTTGCTTTTGAGGCCATTTGGGGTGCAACGTAGCAAAGGGAAAATCAATCTCTCTCTCTCTCTCTCTCTCTCTCTCTCTCTCCCCTACATCTGTCAAATAGTCTTTTTTTTAAAGACAATTTTGTTTTTGTTTGCAAAGATGCAACTCTTTATTTCACAGATCTTTTGTTCATTTATTTAGTTTTCATTTATCTCTGCTGTCTTTATTATTATTTTCCTTCTATTAAGTTTTATTTGTTCTTGTTTCTCTAGGTCATTGAGATGCACTGCTAGGCTGTTTATTTGATATTTTTATATTTTTGTGATAGGGGTAGTTACTACTATAAGCTTACCTCTTAGTACTGCTTTTTTTTGTATCCCATAAGTTTTGGTATTTTATACTTTTATTTTCATTAGTTTCAAGGAATTTTTAAATTTATCTTTCTTTCAATGATCCATTGTTCACTCAGTATATTACTCAGTCTCCATGTATTTGTATAATGTCTCTAAAGTGTCTTTAGTTGTTTTCATTTCTTTTTATAAAAAGGATTTATTTAATTATTTACTTAAGTACTTGAAAAACAGAGTTACAGAAAGTAGGGGGTGGGAGATAACAGAGATATCCCATCTGCTGGTTTACCCCCAAAATAGCCACAATGGCTGGTGCTGGGCCAGGCCAAAGTCAGGAGTCTGGACCTCCATACTGGGCTCCCATATGAGTAGCAGAGGCCTAACTACTTGTCCCATCTTCCACTGATTTCCAAGGCACATTAGCAGGGAGCTGAATGGGATGTGTAGCAGCTGGGACTCAAACCAGATACCAAGACTGCAGGTGGCAGCTTAATCTCCTGAGCCACAACACCAGCCCTATATTTTCTTGGTAACTTGTAGATTTATTCCGTTATTGTCAGAAAAAAATACACATGATACAATTTCCAATTTTTATCTTGTTGGGATTTGTTTTGTGGCTTAATATGTCTTTATCCTAGAGAAAGTTCCATAAGATAAATCTTTAGCTAAGGAAAAAAAAGAAGCTTCAAATAAATAAAATCAAGAGACGAAAAAAGAATAGTTTGCAACTGATGCCACAGAAATAAAGGACAGTTTTTTAAATTGTATCTCAATTAAAAACAGAGAACAGACCTGTGTATTTCACAGATACAATTCTAAGAAGGTAACTACATTCCCCTGCCTCCCTCTCTCAATTGCCCCTCCTCTCTTTTTTCTTTAATATTTGCAATAACATAACTTCAATTTACTTTATAATCACAGACTTAATTGCATTATTAACTACAACACTAAACAACAAAATGAGTAAGAATATGCCACAAAACTGGAAAACTTAGACATGACAACACTTCTGAATAAGAATAACTTACAAAAAATTCAATCAAGGCATAGAAAACTTGAATAAACCAAGAACAATAATAAGATTGAATCAGTAATAAAAAATCTCCCGGAAAGGTCAGGAAAAGATGGACTTACTCATGAATTATAAAAGCTTTTAAGAAATAACTAAGACAAATTCTCAAATTCTCAAACTCTTGCATAAAAATTGACAGGGAGGAAATTCTTACAAACTCATTCTATGAAGCTAGCATTACCCTGATACCAAAACCAAAGCCATGACAAAAAAGAAAAAAAAGTAAACTACAGACAGGTCTTCCTGATGAAAATAAGTGCAAAAATTCTCCACAATATACTAGAAAATTGAATCCAACCATACATCAAAAAGATCACATATCATGATCAGGTGGGATTTATCACAGGGATATGAGGATGGCTCAACATATGGAAATAAGTCACCCATATTGTGGCAAAGCATGTAAAACTGCTGCCTGCGATGCTGGCATCCCACATGGACACTGGTTCAAGTCCGACTGCTCCACAACTGATCCAGCTCCCTGCTAATGGCCTGGGAAAAGCAGCAGAAGATAATATCACATCAACATAAGGAAAGACAAACATATGATCATCTCAGGTGCAAGAAGAGCGTTCAATAAAATTTAACATTTATTCATGATAAAGAAAAAACTCTGAACAGATTACATACAGAAAGAACATACTTCCAAATAGTAAATGGTATATATGACAAAGCCACAGACAGTATCACAAGGAATGGAGAAAAGTTGAAAGTATTTCCTTTAACATCTATAACCAGACCAGGGTTCCAGGCTCATCACACTTAGTCAATATATTTCTGAAAGTTCTAACTAGAACCATTTGACGAGAAGCAAATAAAAGGCATAAGAATTGGAAAGAAAGAAGTCAAATTACCCCCTGTGTTTTGTAGATCTCACACACATACGCACACACACACACACATACACACACACACACACACACACACACACATATATATATATATATATAGAGAGAGAGAGAGAGAGAGAGAGAGAGAAACCTAAGGAATATACCAAGAGAATGTTAGAACTGATAAACAAACTCAGTAAAGTCACAGAATATAAAATCAACACATAATGAATAATAATTTTATGTATCAATAATAAAGTCACTGAGAAAGAAATTAAAAGAGCGATCTCATTCATGATAGCTAGAAACAAAAATAAAAACAAAAAACATCTTGGAAAAAAATTAACCAAGAATGTGAAAGTCACAAAAATTGAAGAAAAAAAATTAAATGACCTATCTTCATTGATTAGAAAGATTAACACTGTTAAGATGTCCATAATCAAAGTAATTTCCAGATTCAAAACACACACACAGAGAGAGAGAGAGACAGAGAGACAGAGAGAGACAGAGAGAGAGCTAGAAAAAAGAACTAGGAAAAGCAATCTTAATATTCACATGGAGGCAAAACAACCTCCTGCAGAGCCAGTCTTAAAAGAACAAAACAAACCTGATGGTTGAGTTGTCTGTATAAGAGTTCAGATACCCACATGCCTCACAGTTATATCTAGGTTCAATTCCCATCTTTGGCTCCTGAATCAAACTTCTAACCAATTCAGACTCTGGGAAGTAACAGTGATGGTACAAATAATTGGATTTCTGCTACCCACACACTGGACACCTGGATTGCATTGCTAGTTCCCTGTTTCAGCCACAGCCTAACTTTAACTACCGCAGGAATTTGGGGAGTCAAACAGCAAATTTAAGTCCTCTTCTCCTCTGCCTTTCTCCCTTCCTCCCCCCTTCTTTCTCCCCCTGTTTCTCTGTTCTCAAATACTTTTTTTTTTTTTTTTGAAAAAGAACAAAGCTAGGGGCATCACAATACCAGATGGCAAGATATACCACAGAACTATTATAAACAAAACAGTATAATACCAGTACAAAAACAGACACACTGCCGGCGCCACGGCTCACTAGGC